GGGTTAAATATGTTTTTAGTCCCTAAACTATTGGCCGTTTCTGGTTTTCGTCCCTCTTTCAAAGTAAGGTACAATTTGGTCCTCATTCTTTTCGAAACGTTCGTTTTAGTCCTCGGAATTTTGGTTTTAGTCCTCATTTGTTGCTAAATGAGGACCAAATTTTTAAATAGTGTTTAGTTTTCGAGGACTAAAACGAACGTTTCGAAAAGAACGAGGACCAAATTGTACCTTACTTTGAAAGAGGGACGAAAACCAGAAACGGCCAATAGTTTAGGGACTAAAAACATATTTAACCCATTATTTAATTAAAATTATTTTATAAAAAATTTAATTTAATTACAAAAATAATTAAAATCATAAAATTTATTTATTTAATAATATTAAAAAATTTAATTAATTGTTAGATATAATTTTAATTATATTAAATACATTTAAAAATATTATTTACAAATTATAAATGATTTTAATTAATAAAAAAATTAAAAAAATATTAAAAAAGTAAAAATGTCAGGGAGGTGCATGACTTCAATAAGAGAAGTTGTTAACCCCATACAACTTCAACTTTTTTTAATTCTTTTATGAAAAATGACTTTGTAATCTATTACAAGTTCGTGGTAATCGATTATCATGTCCTATTGTCGTTTTTAGGTGCACGACTTCACCTCTGAACTCTGTATCAGAATAAAGTCGTGCAGGAGGCACGACTTCTTTATTAGAAGTCGTCTTAACTCTCCACGACTTACCTATTTTCGTAATTAAATTTTTTTTTCCTATTCTCATAATATCTCTCAGTTTTGCTTACAATGGTACAAAAACCAAGAAAGTTATTAAAATCTACCAAAATAATATTTAAAGATAATTTGTTTGTATACTGAAAATTTTAATTAGAACTATATATGTTTTTATTTAAAGATCATTTGTTTCAATTTGATAGTGTGATGTCATTTTCAGCATTGTCATCATAACATTACCAATTCTGTGTTATCATAAAAGCCAATAGGTACAGCCACTCTCCTCGTCTTCGTCCACGAATCATGCAACCTTTCACATCTGAAAAATAACACTGAGAGAGCAGAGCAAGGTTCTTAAAAAAATTCCAACAACTATTTTATATCTAAAAAAAACATAAAAACGTGCCATCAAGCACGATTTTATAAGAAAAATGAAAAACATTCTAACAAGCATGATGACTTCGACCAAAAATTAAAAGCAAAAAAACAAGAAGGAAGAAGAATACAAAATATATATTATAGGCTCTTCCATTGAAAAAAAAACTTTTTAGTATAATAAAAATGGGATAATTTGTATTACTTTAATGTTTTTGTAGATGAACTATATAAATACAAGGCAATTGTTATATATAGTATTAGTTATTTAAGATTTTAATAATGAAACAAAAGTCAAAAGAAAATCTTCTAATGGTTTATTTAGAAAAGGCACGTTCAAACAAATACATGCACATGCTACAGCCAACAAAACTAGCGCGTGGCAATTCGAACTCAGTTTACCATAGCAATTGTCAAGAATAGTAGCTGAATAATTAGTGTAACAGTAATACAATTATGGATGTATATTATATGTGTATCGATAATAATTGGTCGACATTCTTGATTGTCGAACATTTTGACTGAATAATAATGAATGTCATATTAATATGAATAATAATTACGAATTCATTTACTAATGATAATTAAGGTATGATTGAGTTGTAAGTAGACCAGTAAAAAGAACAAAAAGTCCACAATAGCTACTATAAATAAAAGTTTAAGGTGTGACTTTCATGGCTATACATGTTAGAATTTCGAATGTGAGTCTAAGTCTCACGTTGAATAAAAATGAGAAAGTAGAACTTCTTCCTCCATAAATCCAACAATGCACAACACATGCATTATCGAACTTAATGTTTTATCACTTATACTCAGTCTAGCATCAAAATACTTTTTGCAGGTACCATCCGACGAACTTTGATGAACAACACTTGGAATTTGAAGCGACTAGTTGGAGATCGGTCAATTGATGTGAAGACTTGTGACAGCCTATTCCAAAACATTTTGATTCACATTGTGGGGTCAAGCGAGCATCTCTTTGTAACCCTAAGGAACTAGAGAAGCAGTATATGTTATAATATATTAATATTATATTATTGCAAAAGTTAATGTGTGGTTTAAAAACATTAAATTGTGAGCTTTAATGTTTGGAACGTTGGGTGGCAACGTTCATTTTCTTTCAACGTGCAAATTTGTTTTATATAAATCATAGGGAGCTCCTCCTCCATTCCAAGACACACCAAATTCAGTCTTTCTCATTCTTCTCTTTTTTGAATTTCATTCTTTAGCTCTTTCTCTCTTCTAAAAATATTCTGGGTTATTCTTATACTCTGTTTAGAGTTCCTTGCTAGTTCTGAGATCCTCAGACAGTCTGAGAAGTTCCTGTTGTATCTTGGGGGACTTGCGCAACACACCGCGGATAAGTCCTTAAGGACAGTGACTCTACACGCCTAAGGAAATACTATTTTGTCAGCTTTTTCCAACAGTATAGTGGAAGAGTCAATCACAAGCTCCAACCTCTTGACTTTGTTCAGCCTCAACTACACGACCTCCTTTGGCCTTAACCTATTAGCTTTGTTCACTCTTAATCGTTTAGCTTCGACCGTCAATCTCAACATAGTCTCTTTCAACTTCATCGTTTTGTTAGTGCAACCTCAACTTAGCCCTTTAAGGCTTCAACATCTCGCCCGTTGGTCTCAACATAGCTCTTTCAGGTTTAACATTTTGTTTGTCTAGTCTCAACAACTGAGCCTCTTTAGGCTTAAACATCTTACTCGTCGAGCCTCGACCGACCTCAACAACTCAGTCTTTTTAGATTTTAACGTTTCGCTTGTCGACTTTGACTATCAAACTCAACTCAACTCTAATTGTCATTTTTTGTCAGGTGAGATAGGAACACACTATTTAGAAGGTTGGTCATCTCTTTAGTTTTTAAACATTTTTTTCTCAAATACTCAGACTATTTGCTTTTGATATCAATTTGTTAGCAAATAAAAACTTCTCTCACCTATGTTGTTTTGCTACAATTTTACACGTCAACTAAACATTACAACTTATAAGATTTCCATTTAGTTTTTTTATCCAAGTCATAAACTTGATCATTAAAATTAATTATTATTTATTATTGTTTAATAACTAATATACTAAACTAACTATTTGCCATCTAAACAAATAAACAATCGATTTAATTTATTTAATTCTATTGCATCTAAATTTACCTTGAGCTCTTGTTACAGAAAATAAATTGAGTAGGTTTTGCCAGAGAATAATTGCTGTATACAAAGGCAACAAATTTGAGGCTGACGTTGACTGCATTATAAAAGGTAATGATTTATGAACATTAGGTGCATTAATATTTAGTATATATTAAAAAGAGAAGAAAAATGATAGACTTACAAATCATGTGATGTAATACGAAGAATAATGATAAAAAAAATGTAATTGGAGTAGATAAAATCACAGTATGAATGAATCATTTACCTACTACCCTACCGTTCATTGAAGCAACTATTTCTTGGTCAGATTTGGCAAACGAAATATATATGTGCAAAAATCTCTAAGCTTTATGCCATATAAGTTTGAGTCGGAGTGAGTGCTATCATCTGCATCATGGCTACCCATGGCTTTCGTCGCATTTCCGAATGCTTCGTCCAGCCACACCGCCCCACTCAAATGTCAAACCAAATATGTCATTTAACACCTTGGGATATTGCAATGTTGAGTAGCCACTATATCCAGAAGGGTCTACTTTTCAAGAAGCCTTCAACACTTGTTCATCCAGATCATTTCACAGACAAACTGCTGGAGAAACTCAGACACTCTCTTTCTCTCACCCTCTCCCATTTCTATCCATTAGCGGGCCGTTTCGTCACCCACAAAACGCAAGACCCTCCCTCTTATGCTGTTTTCATTGATTGCAAAAACAGTGACGGAGCTAAATTCATCTATGCAACCTTGGACATGACCATATCTGACATACTCTCTCCCATTGACGTCCCACCCATTGTCCACTCATTCTTTGACCACCACAAAGCAGTCAACCATGACGGTCACACCATGCCATTGTTGTCCATCCAAGTCACTGAACTAGTGGATGGTGTTTTCATAGGTTGTTCCATGAACCATGCTGTTGGTGATGGCACTTCTTACTGGAATTTCTTCAAGACATGGTCTCAGATCTTTCAAGCTCATGATCAAGGACATGAATACGAGGTTTCCATTTCACAGCAACTCATTCACAATAGATGGTTTCCGAATGATTGCAGCCCACCAATCAATCTTCCTTTCAAACATCACGACGAGTTTATCAGCAGATTTGAAGCGCCCTTTCTGAGAGAGAGAGTCTTCCACTTTTCGGCGGACTCTATTGCGAAACTGAAAGCAAAAGCCAACTCAGAGTGCAATACCACAAAAATCTCTTCATTCCAGTCATTATCAGCACTTGTTTGGAGAAGCATAACTCGAGCCCGCTCCCCACCGTACGAGCAAAGAACAAGTTGCAAGTTGGCCATAAACAATCGACCAAGAATGGGAGCGGTGCCTGAGGAATACTTTGGAAACTCAATTCATGTGGTGAGTGCAGAAACAACGACAGGGGAATTGGTTGAGAATGGTCTAGGATGGGCAGCGTGGAAGTTGAACTTGACTGTTGCAAAGCATAATGAGAGAGTGGTACTGGAATTGCTGAGAAAGTGGTTAGAATGTCCATTGATATATGACCTTGGTAGTTTCTATGGCCCGTACTGTGTGATGATGGGTAGCTCGCCCAGGTTTAGCGTGTATGGAAATGAATTTGGAATGGGAAAAGCAGTGGCCGCTAGAAGTGGGTATGCTAACAAGTATGATGGGAAAGTGACATCATATCCAGGTCGTGAAGGAGGGGGAAGCATTGATTTGGAAGTTTGCCTTTCCCCAGATAATATGAGAGCGCTCGAATCGGATCAAGAGTTCATCAATGCAACTTCTCACTCCAGTCTCTTGTACTAGTTCACTATGTTTTGTTTTCTTTCTTTTTCTTTTTTTATTTGATCAGCTCACTACGTGTTTTGTGCTTGAATGTGTTGAAGATGTCATCCTCAAAATAAGATAATTTGTACTTTGCTATTTTGCAAGTCTTTCACTTTGGAGAAATATGATTTAAGACCACTCACTTTCCTATTAGATTTCCACCGCCTTTAAAAACTCTCCTATTAATTTTTATTTAAAACATAATATTTTGACATACATAAATTTGTCTACATGTATTGTTTTTTAAAAATAAATTATTTTTTTATAATTATTTCATTTCAATATTGTGTGTCTCTAATACTACTCTTTCTATTTTAAATGTTTCTTTTTTTTTTATTAAACAACTATTCACTTTTCTTATTATAACATTTTTAATAAAACTAATGATTCATCCTGGGTTCGTGTTTGTTGTCTTTTAGGCCTGACATTACACAATCTCCTAAAAATTCACCTTTAAAATATCGTAATTAAATAGTATTTTAAGGGTTTTGGTCCTTCACTAAGGACAATGAGTCCTAAACTTTACCTAAATTTTAGGAAGCCAAATTTAACTCTAATTCATCTTCACACAACCTGCTAAAAAATAAATTTAAGTCTAATGATTTCTTTATAATATCCACTTGTAAAGTCGGAATGAGCCTCCAAATTTAACTTTAACTCTAATGGATCTGCAACACTAAAATCACGAAATACAGTATTTGGAGAGACTAAACCTTGAAATCTGACCTTCTACAAAGACAAAAGCTTAATCAAATGTTTTCTTTTTTATTTGTCATCATTCTCAAAGACCTTCACAATAGTGTAGTGGGCCAAAGCTTAGTAGCCGAACCCAAACATATTTGCTTTGTTTTTGTATCCTGTTATTTTCAATGACTTTTCCGTTATTCTAATGGGTAATAGTTTATACCAAATGTCGGAAAAGTAATTAGATTTGATTCGTTTGACGAGAACGAAAGATGGCTGAACGTGCACGGCAATGTAAACCTTTGGCAGCTTGTGTTTGACTGCATTTTAGTTACACAAAGATACATGTTATTGTGTCTTCATTCACTCTTCACAAACGAAATGCTACCCCCATCGACCTCTCTTCAACACAAATCTAAGTTGTGTCTCCGACCATCTGCATAACGAGTACCACTGCAAAATGCAAATCTCCAACTATTTTTGTGTATAACATACACAATATGAAACATTTATAAATGGAAATTCATTTTAACTTCTGTATGTGTCCAAAACTTTTCGATTTAATACTTATTATTTCATAAACATTTTATATTCTCCCGTGAAAGAATAATGTTAATTATAAAAAGTACAAGGTGACATATAAAATAAAATCAAGTTCCTTTTCTCTTCTCATATACTTTAAATTTAATTTAATCCCACATAATCAATTTGTAAAGTGAAGTTTACACCTACTTATGTATTATAAATTGATTTTATTTCTAATTGATGTGAAACTTTCAATACACGTTCGTCATGCGTGATATATACATCTCGAACGTAAGACTAAATATTAATTGGTGATCCGATAGTAGGTAGACCAATATGTCCAACACAAGTCTTGTTGGTATTAAGTTTCAACGTGACTCTGACACCATGTTAAGAAATGAAAGTCTAACTCAAGCTCACAAAATCGAGCTTGTAAGATAATATTTGCATCCACTTATATACTATAAATTGATTTTATCTCTAAATGTTCAAAAACTTTTCGATTGAATACTTATTATTTCATAAACATTTTGTATAGAACAATGTTAATTATAAAAAGTATGAGGTGAATAATAAAATAAAGTCAAGTTTTTTAAAGGGTAGATGGCTCCTTCCTCACACCGAATTCCAAGTTGAGAAATTCAAGTGAAATTGGTCGGTCCATGTTGAAACTATTGATTATTGAATAGCTCTACCTGTATTAATCATAATATTCTGAAACTTTTGTGTGTATTTGGATGATGAATTCCCCCGTCGTTCGAATCGTTTCAGAATGTTTTGTCAAGCCGTCGGGCCAAGCTCAAGAATCAGATCGAATATGCAATTTAACACCTTGGGATATTGCTATGCTGTCTTTGCACCACATCCAGAAGGGTCTACTCTTCCAGAAGCCAAAAACACTTGTTGATCAGCATCATTTCATACAGAATCTGTTGGAGAAACTCAAACACTCTCTTTCTCTAGCCCTCTTCCATTTCTATCCGTTGTCCGGTCGCCTTGTCACCCACAAAACCGAAGACCCTTCATCTTATACTATTTTTGTTGATTGCAGCAACAGCAGAGGAGCTAGATTCATCCATGCAACTTTGGATATGACAATATCTGACATCCTCCCCCCCGTTGATGTCCCTCCTATTGTGCACTCATTCTTTGACCTCCACAAAGCAGTCAACCATGATGGTCATACCATGCCACTCTTGTCGATTAAAGTTACTGAACTAGTGGACGGTGTTTTCATAGGTTGTTCCATGAACCACAATATCGCTGATGGCACTTCTTATTGGAATTTCTTCAATGCATGGTCTGAGATCTTTCAAGCTCAAGCTGAAGGGAATGAACACGATGTTCCGATTTCATGTCATCCTATTCATAACCGGTGGTTTCCAGATGGTTGCGGCCCATTAATCAACCTTCCCTTCAAACATCACGACGAGTTTATTAGCAGATTTGAAGCACCCCAGCTGAGGGAGAGAATCTTCCATTTTTCAGCAGAGTCTATTGCAAAACTGAAAGCAAGGGCGAATTCAGAGTCCAAAACCACACAAATCTCTTCGCTCCAATCCTTATCAGCTCATGTTTGGAGATGCGTAACACGGGCACGCCAGATGGCACACGGTGAGAGAACAAGTTGCAAATTGGCCATAAATAACCGGTCAAGAATGGAACCGCCTCTGCCGGCCGAGTACTTTGGAAGTGCTGTTGGTGTGGTGAGCGCAGAGAGCACGGTAGGGGAATTGCTGGAGAATGATCTAGGATGGGCTGCACGGAAGGTGCTCGTGGCTGTTGACAACCATAACGACAGAGTGGTGAGAGACATGGTGAAAGAGTGGTTGCAGCATCCAGTGATTTACCAACTTGGTGTGATCGTTGACTCCAGTTGCGTGATGATATCAAGTTCTCCCAGGTTCAATGTGTATGGAAATGAATTCGGAATGGGAAAAGCGGTGGCAGTTCTGAGTGGGTATGCCAACAAATTTGACGGAAACGTGATCGCACATCCAGGACGTGAAGGAGGAGGAAGCATAGATTTTGAACTCTCCCTTTCACCTCATGTAATGTGTGCACTGGAATCAAATCACGAGTTCATGGAAGCTGTTTCCGTGCCCAATATTCTGCACTACCCAGTTCGTTGATTTGCCATTAAAATAACATGTATTCCATATCAGAACCGTTACACTCTTCTGCTCTTCTTTATTAAGCACAAACGATGTTGTGTAAAAGAAATAATGTCCTTTTATTTAGGATTTCATGTTTCAGGGATCACCGTCTTCTCGCAAAGTCATGTCTCTCTTTAAAACTCTCTCGTTATACACTTCAACTAAAATTGGTTTACTAAAAGTATATCTTATAGTCATTAAATTTTTTAAATTGGTTTACTTCAGGGATTACTCGTTATGCACCATAACTATTACGTGTTTTAAATTTAATTTTTTAAATGTTTTATATGGTTTTATAAAGCTCATACTCTTTTTAATATTTTATTAAATTATTAACAAAGTGATATATTTTAAAATAAAAGAATATATATATTTTTTATAACATCAAGTCTTGTCTATACCACCCATCACAAACTATCACAAATATTTTTATAAAAAGTTGTTAAAAAAAATTATTAAAAAAATATTTTTCTTAAATTTTATGTTAGGTGATATGATCTTACTAGAAACGAGTCTAAGACATCATGTATGAACGTGATTACCATAAAGCTGAAGGGAATTTGATTGGTCCCCCTTCCTAATATGGATGATGAAAACTGACTACTAGCTGCTTTACCGGCATTCTTTTTCCCACGACGTAAACATCCACCGATTCAGTTCAGACATCTCTAAGATATCTGCGAAACAACTCCGAAATTTTGGTGAGAGTTTGGATGATGAATTCCACAGTCGTAATAAACGTTTCAGAATGTTTTATCATGCCGTTTGGCCCAGCTCAAGAGTCCAATCGAATATGCAATTTAACACCTTGGGATATTGGTATGCTGTCTATGCATTACATCCAGAAGGGTCTACTCTTCAAGAAACCTGCAACACTTGTTGATCGACAAGATTTCATAGAGAATCTGTTGGAGAAGCTCAAGCACTCTCTTTCTCTCACCCTCTTCCATTTTTATCCATTGGCAGGCCACCTTGTCACAAACAAAGACCCTTCCTCTTATACTATTTTCGTTGATTGCAACAACAGTCATGGAGCTAGATTCATCTATGCAACTTCGGATTTGACAATATTTAACATACTCTCCCCTGTTGACGTCCCAGCCGTTGTTCACTCATTCTTTGATCATCACAAAGCTGTCAACCATGATGGTCACACGATGCCTCTGTTTTCCGTTAAAGTCACTGAACTATTGGATGGTGTTTTCATAGGCTGTTCTATGAACCACGCCATAGGCGATGGAACATCTTATTGGAATTTCTTTAATACATGGTCTGAGATCTTTCAAGCTCATGCTCAAGGTCATGAATACGATGTTCCCATTTCACGCCACCCCATTCATAACCGGTGGTTTCCTGATGGTTGTGATCCATTAATCAATCTTCCCTTTAAACATCACGACCAGTTTATTAGCAGATTTGAAGCACCCCAGCTGAGAGAGAGAATCTTCCATTTTTCAGCAGAGTCATTTGCAAAACTGAAAGCAAGGGCTAACTCAGAGTCCAAGACCCCCAAAATCTCTTCGTTCCAATCCTTATCAGCTCATGTATGGAGATGCATAACACGTGCTCGTCAGCTGCCACATGATGAGGTAACTAGCTGCAAATTGGCCATGAATAATCGAGCAAGAATGGAGCCGCCTCTGCCACATGAATACTTTGGAAACTGTATTAGTGTGGTGAGTGCGGGGACAACAGTAGGGGAATTGCTGGAGAATGATCTAGGATGGGCTGCATGGAAGGTGCGCCTGGCCGTTGCAAACCAAAACGACGGAGCAGTGCGACACGCGGTGAAAGAGTGGTTACAACGCCCTGTGGTGTACCAACTTGGTGTGCACTTTGATTCGCGTAGTGTGACGATGTCAAGTTCGCCCAGGTTTGACATGTATGGGAATGAATTTGGGATGGGAAAAGCTGTTGCAGTTCTGAGCGGATATGCCAACAAATTTGATGGGAATGTGACTTCATATCCAGGATCTGAAGGAGGGGGAAGCATAGATTTGGAAGTGTCCCTTTCGCCCGATGCAATGAGCTTACTAGAATCGGATGAGGAGTTTATGGAAGTTGTTTCAGTGGCCAATTCCCTACTCTGGCGACTTTGTTGATCATGTTCAGCGGATAATCATTAAAAATAAGGTAACATGTACAAGAGTAGATAATCCATGTTTTTCGACAGGACATTTTATACACCATCATATCTGTTTCGCTTACTCTGCACATGAATCGGAAATGTTTAAATGATTTTCATCTTAGCCAAACTTGAAAGGCTCCAAAATCTGTTGGCCACGCAATTATTGTATGTAAATATAGAAAAGTACATGTTGATTCAGTGGTGAAGATCGTGGTTGGTTTGGTTTTTGATGGACATCCTGTTGAACATAAATTATGATAGACTCTGATGGACTCTTCTAAATTGTATTTATATATATTAAGAGGAAAGAATGTTACGGTGATTGCTAAAGAACTATCCTTTTACTTCTCAATTGATGTTCGAACGCTTATAAAACGTATTCAACAAGTGGAAGAAAAGAACAAGAGATTCAATACTTGTGGATGAAGGGAAGGGCGTAGAGCATGTTGAGAGACTGAAACAACTCCTACTCTGCATAAAGAATTTAGAAAATATGATGAAATGAAAATAACTTTTTAACATTTGTATCAAATTATGCTATTAAGAATTCAGAGGAAGATATAACAGATCTACATGTATCTGGTTTTGTCATATGCAGGTCCAAAACCCTTATAACATTAGGACCAATACACTTAGAAGTCTGAATTGGAGAACCAATCTAAAAGTTTTGTTTATGCAGTCTAATTTCTGCTTTGAACTTTGAAGTGGGTTTTGGGGAAGGATGGTTTTCTGTAGAAACGGTTCCTGCTTCGAATTGCGAAATTCTCTTTGGAGTTGTAGTTCTGTCTTAATAGTTGGTCCATTTCCGTCTTATAAATTTAACTCTGTTCTTCATAGTTCAAGAAAGTGATATTCATTTGCATTTCCTAATCTTCTAATCTTAAATTATTTTTCCTCCACCTTCTTTATGCTTTAGGAAACTCAAAACAAACTCCTAGATTACTCAAAAAAATAAACACTCTAATAGTAAAACATCTTAGTAATCAAACTCAAAATCCATACTCCAAAGAACAACTCAAACAAAGCTCATTCATTGTCTACAATAATTCCACCTACTCACCTAAACACAAACAACATTCATTCTTCTAATAAGATCTAAATAGTTTCATATGCCATTTAATAAAACTTTAAACTCATAATTAATTAATTAATTTAAGGATTGAACACAATTTCAAAAGTATTTTTTTCTGCACCTTCTTTCCTTCTGCTTACACCTTCAAAATTATAAATATAACCTTTAATTTTTTATTAAATTAATTTCCTTTTTTTACTTTTCTCTTTTCTCTCTTTATTCTCAACTTTAAGTTTTTTATGACTTCAACAACTTTAGAAAATCGGTTAAGGTTTAAAATATGTTTTCTTCTTAACTACCTTTTGATAATAAGTGAGTTCTTAACCGACTTTAAGAAATATGTTTAAGAAAAAAAATATTAAATTTAAAATAATAAATAATAAATTTTGAAAAATCAAAATAAAATAAACAAAACAGAAAAAAAAAACAATTAACAAAACTTAATAAAATTTCAAATAAAAAATAACGATCAAATATAATTGCAATATTTAAAAAAGTCAACTAAATTTTAATTAAAGAATTATAAGAAAATGAAAAAAATCAATATAATTTCAAACAAAAAAATTATTTTAATAATAATTATTAAATATTGCAAATTTATTAAAACAAACAAAACATAAAATTAAATAACAAAAACATACAATTTAAAATAACAATAAAAAAATTGTTATTTTGTTATTTTTATTTTAAATTTTGTTGAATTTTCAAATAATAATTTTCTTAATTTTCTTTTAGTTTTGTTTGTTTTATTTTTATTTTTCAAAATTTATTATTTTTTATTTTAATTGTTTTTTGTTATTTTAAATTTAATATTTTTTTTCTTGAATGTATTTCGAAATACGTTAATGTTTTCTTCTTTCATCATCTTCGAAAGTCGGTTAAGAGTTTTTCGGCTTTTGAAAGTCGATTAAGAAAAAAAAACTTTAATAAAAGTTATTAAACTCTTAATTGACGTTCAAAAGCCGGTTAACGAATAAAAAAGGTGCAGCGCGAGTGAGGAAAGAAGAGAAAAGTAAAAAAAAAAAGTTAATAAAAGGTTAAAGGTTATTTTTGTAATTTTGGAGGTCAAGTAGAAACACTATAATTTCAATTCAATTAACAATTTCAATTTTGTTTGAGACATTTTATGAGTCATTAAATGGATATCACGATGTTTGTCCTCCTTTAATTTAATAAGCAATAAAGAAAAATTTATTCTCACATGTAATAAATACTCATTAAAAAGAATGGTATATTGAATGGTATAGTGCTTAGCGGAATGAGGTTGTTGCTAAGCACCCATGTTTTCAAATTGTTGAGCGTTTAGTGGTGTCAGGATGTCATTGAGCGTCATCCTTGTATTGCAAGTTTAGAACATTTTAACTTTGGAGCATTGAGTGTTAGAAAGTGTCGGTTAGCGGAATTTATTGTGAAAAGAATGGTGTTGAACGCCATGACTAGCATTGAGTGTCACCTTTTGCAAGACGTTCTGTGCTAGGCGTCACCTCTGAGCATTAGTGTGCATGTGTGACTCATTTGTCTTCTTTGACAGTTTGAAATAGACTTAAAATGGATTTAATGTACGTGTATGGTTATTATGATGATTTATTAAGGTGATTGATATTTTGTGAAAACTGTGTGGTATTGTTGTTGGGAGAATTTCAAGGAGAAATTATGTGTGGTGGTGATGTGTAGTGAATGCATTAACATATGTGGGCTCAAAAATTAAGTATCGTGAAATACTACCAATAATTAAATTCATATATAGAAAAATGATTGAGGGTAAAGAATGACAAAAGGTCTTAGCCACTAGACTCTTTTGGTCTTATGCGTGAAGGAGACTAATTTGTGATTAGTAGGATCATAACATATTTATTTATGACTATGTAAAGTATAAATACTACTACAAACTCAATGACAAATGTATGTATCTATATAATTGAGTATAATGGCAACTGTCTATATGTTTGAGTTATTATTTTACATAAATGTTTAATTTAAATCTTATATAGTTTAATTGTCTTAGAAAATCATTTTTGCACATTAGCTTACCTTGTCGTTTTCTTTTGTGTTTTCTTGTATCTTTGTGTTTTTCTTTTGTCATGATCTTCTTATTGGTGTGAGAAGAAGAAAAATAAGTGTTGAAGCATCTTTGCTGGAAAACTATAATACAACAAAGTCTTCTTCTTGATTATTTGTTTTTGTAGTTATTTTAGATATATTTTATTATTACTGATTATTTAGTTTTGATAATTGTTTTAGTACTATATATTTATATGTTAATATTTATATGTGAAGACAATTTGTTTTGTTTTGTAAGTTGTTAAAATTGAAATATTGTATTTATTTTTCTCAAATTTTATTAATTAAGAAATGTAGTTTTTGTAACCAAATATTATTCGTTACGTCAATAAATCATTAAGTAATTTGGTGGTGAGTACTACTTTTGAAATAAAAAAATTCAATATAATTTAAGATCTAAAAAATATTTTTTTTTGTTTTTATGTGAGTTTAAAGCTTCAGGCTTTTTAGTTAAAAAAACAATTTTAATATATTTTATTGTTTATAATTAAACTATGTAAAGGTAAATTTATATTAATTTCGTCTCATCCCAAAATTAATATACACCAATACATATATTAAAAAAGTTTTAAACCTTCCTATGATTCTTGTATTTGTTGGAAAATTTGAAATAAATTCTTTTTTGTCAAAATTGAGTTCATGTACTTATAAAATTGATCCACTTTTTCTCTCTCAAATAAAAGGTTAAGATAACGTATGTGTGGATGTGAAATTATAGAAGAGGTTGCCAATTAATGTGGGACACGGCAGTGGCGAATACCTCGGCCACGTTTATTTTATTGTTTTTGCTATGACCATTACCTACTTACCCTAACATAAAAACAAAATGTTTTTAGAAAGAAAATGTACAGGAAATTGACTAGACTAGACTTAAATAAAACAAATGTACGAGAATTAAAATAATTTTTGTGTGTGATATGATTTTTAAGAGTTATTAGAAACATATTCAAAACTTTACAAGATGTTAAGAAATATATATATATATATATATATATATATATATATATATATATAATTACATAAATATTAAAATAAATAATTAAGTAAGTTAAATTTTATTAGTTTTTAATAATTTCTAAAAATATATTATTTTTGTTTGAAAATGAATAATTAATGAAATATTAAATATTTTTTTTTTCAACGAAATTTATCGTCGAGATTGTAAGATCCGAGAGAAATACTTGTGATTTATGGGTGAGATGTAAGTGAGTGGTTTTTCTGTATAAAAAAAATACAATATGTTTAAGTATGTATAACCTAATTGGTAAGAACTTTTTTTGGGTTATATTGTCTTCGTAAATTATTTGTTTAATTGTTTTAATAATTTACTAGTATATGAAAATGTATAGTGTATAATTTATATTTATCAATGAAATGTGAATAGCATAGTGGTTAAGGTTTTAGGATTGTGTATCTATATTGGATGTTTATTTTAATCTGCTGCTTTGGTCATGAGTGAGAGTTGTGACTATTAAGTGAATTAAAAAGAAAAAAAAAACAATGTGGATGTTGGGAAGGAGCGTATAAGAGGGAATGGAAAGGAAACGTGCTTATCATTTTTTTCGGCTTCTTTTTCAGTCAGTTTTAAGTGCAGTTTTCTTTTAAAAAAATAAGATTCATTATAATAGGAGGATATTTTTCGTGGTTGGAGAGGATTAAAAGAGATTTTTGGAACAGGGGAATAAGGGAGGGCAACAGAGGTGAGTTTCTTTTTAAAACATAAAATACAAAAACCTTACGTGAACTGAGAGACGAGAGAGGATGGACTGTTTGAAAAGAAGAAGAGGAACTTCTAGCTAGTAGCAGGACGTGAGTGAAAGATGGTAGGTTTTGCTCTGAAAAATTAGATCAAGATAGTAGCTTTGGCCAAGGTATGGGAAGCTACCTTAGTTATTTTTCCTTGCTTTCAATATGTATTCTGGGTGCTTGCTGTGTTCTGGTTTTATCCTATTATGATGTGTTGAGTGTGTTATACGTTCCAACATTTAAGGTCCANTCAATGAAATGTGAATAGCATAGTGGTTAAGGTTTTAGGATTGTGTATCTATATTGGATGTTTATTTTAATCTGCTGCTTTGGTCATGAGTGAGAGTTGTGACTATTAAGTGAATTAAAAAGAAAAAAAAAACAATGTGGATGTTGGGAAGGAGCGTATAAGAGGGAATGGAAAGGAAACGTGCTTATCATTTTTTTCGGCTTCTTTTTCAGTCAGTTTTAAGTGCAGTTTTCTTTTAAAAAAATAAGATTCATTATAATAGGAGGATATTTTTCGTGGTTGGAGAGGATTAAAAGAGATTTTTGGAACAGGGGAATAAGGGAGGGCAACAGAGGTGAGTTTCTT